ATTTCATTTTATCTAATTCTCTAAACACTGCCCTACACTAAATTTATTCCGGCATGGTTTTGGTCTCATTAATCTTGCAGGTAAAACAACAAAAGATAAAATCTCAAACTCTCTGACAGATGAGCCAAGCACCAAGATAAATATAGATGTCCTGGTAATTCCTTTGGGGCAGGWTGTGGAAGTTATAACCTAACAACTGCTCCCACAACCTAAAGGATAAAAAGACTCYTCATAGTGAATAAAACATAAAGAAATCATGAACGCTGAAAGCTGAATCTATTCCATGAACAGTAAAGCAAGTTATTTCACAAGACAGTCCTTTAAATAGCTGCAGAAAATACAACAGCCTCAACGATCCAGAGCCAAAAAATATAATCAAGATGACATCAATTTACCCTCAAAGTTGTTCATTAAAAATAAAGATGTGGGGAAATATCTCTTTGCAGGTAGGCAGTTAACTCCAGGTATGATGGATTACCTCTTAATGTGACCTCAAAAGAAGCCAATAACACAAGAAAAATGATATTTTCACAGAATCCWACCACCACCAGTGAGAGAAAAGTTACATTTATCAATGCAAAAAACTCCATTTATCTCATAGACTAATGAAAAGAGCAGGCTGATATTAAACGTCCTCACAAAGCTGAGGGTGAAGCATCAGATTCCATCTCAGAGTCTGATCATTTGCATGTACCAGTGATGCAAATGAGTCCAAATCAAAGGAGCCTATTGATAGTTGAGAATGACTTGTGGCCTCTTTATCGGTTTCTCTATCTTTTCAGCATCCTCTCTTTCATCGCTGCTGCTGCCACCTGCTCTAACCCCCACCCCACCCCACCGATAGAAACGCAGGAACCTTATCAACATGGTCAGTCAGAAACAGCCCTCAGTCAATCCAGTGCGTGGCTCTCAGTCCCATCCTGCTGCTGTCTTGTCATTCTGCTTAAAAATCAGCATTTGTTTCTTCTCCCTGTCGTTCGTTCCTTTCCTTTCCTTACCTCTGTCGTTTTCTCTTTCTGTCGCTTGTCTCCCTCCCTCTCCACTTCTCTCTCTGCTGTGAATCATGCCTTCTGTCAGAGGAGGGCTTTTTCTTTTTTTTTTRRTTTTTTTTTTTTTTTTGTCAGGCGCGCTCTGCCAACCAACACACCAACGCAAACCCTCCTCCTCCGAGTTTTTCTTTCCTTCACTTCAGCCTCCCTGCACCTCTCCTTCTCCTCCTCTGTCTCTCTCTCTGTTTGCTCTCTGCACAGCTTTGGGGCTTTAGGAGATTTGGAGGCAAAAAAAAAATTGTTTTCCCCTCTCAGTCTGTATTCTCGTTCTGCATTGTGTCTCCTTTCTCATCCTTCGTTCACCTTCACTTTGTGGCCACATTTTCATCTTTTCTGTCTCCCCATTTGCTTCTTTTTTTAGTTTGACCCAAGTTTTATACCCTGAGGAAAATCAGCAAAAAGGACATACATATCTGTCTGTCTGTCTAGATATCCATTGACCTGTTTATCTATATATCCATCTGTCCAATATCTATATATTCATCTATTGATTTATCCAACCACACATCCATCCATCAATCATCCACTCCTCTCTATTTACCAATTTATTTATCTCCATTTATCATTCATCGATCATCTCTCTGTCCATTCATCACTCAACCCATCCATTTCTCTATTCAACTATCAATCTCTGTCTTTCTATTGATTTAGCCATCCGACCATCCATCCGTTTATCTGTATATCTGTACATCCATCCATTTGTCTGTATATTCATCCATCCATCCATCCATCCATCCATCCATCCATCCATCAACTTGTTCATCTGTACATCCATCCATCCATTTATCCATCCGTCCGTCCATTAACTTGTTTGTTTATCTGTACATCCATCCATCCATTTATCCATCCGTCCGTCCATCCATTAACTTGTTTGTTTATCTGTACATCCATCCATCCATCCGTTTATCTGTATATCCATCCATCCATTTATCTGTATATCCATCCGTTTATCTGTATATCCATTCATCCATCCATCCATCTATCCATTCATCCATCCATCCATCTGTTTATCTGTATTTCGATCGATCCATCCATCCATCCATCCATTAACTTGTTTGTTTATCCATCCATCCATCCATCCATCCATCCATTCATCCATATATCCATCCATCCATGCATGCATCCATCCATTTATCTGTATATCCATCCATCCGTTTATCTGTATATCCATCCATCCGTTTTTCTGTTTATCCATCCATCCATTTGTCAGTATAGTCATCCATCCATCCATCCATCCATCCATCAACTTGTTTGTTTATCCATGCATCCATCCATTTATCCATATATCCATCCATCCATGCATCCATCCATCCATCCATTTATCTGTATATCCATCCATCTATCCGTTTATCTGTACTGTATATCCATCCATCCATTTGTCTGCATATTCATCCAAACATCCATCCATCCATTAACTTGTTTGTTTATCCATCCATCCATCCATCCATCCATTCATCCATATATCCATCCATCCATGCATGCATCCATCCATTTATCTGTATATCCATCCATCCGTTTATCTGTATATCCATCCATCCGTTTTTCTGTTTATCCATCCATCCATTTGTCAGTATAGTCATCCATCCATCCATCCATCCATCCATCCATCCATCCATCAACTTGTTTGTTTATCCATGCATCCATCCATTTATCCATATATCCATCCATCCATCCATCCATTTATCTGTATATCCATCCATCTATCCGTTTATCTGTACTGTATATCCATCCATCCATTTGTCTGTATATTCATCCAACCATCCATCCATCCATTAACTTGTTTGTTTATCCATCTATCCATCCATCCATCCATCTGTATATCCATCCATCCATCCATCCATCTGTATATCCATCCATCCATCCATCCATCCAATATTAATCTAGTCATATTTCTATCTATCACCCATCCATCTATTCACCTCTCCATTCATTTATCCATTGCTCTCTTTCCATCCACTTAAAATTCATCCCTCCATTTCTCTCTATTCACCCTCAGTCTATCTATCTATCTATCTATCTATCTATCTATCTATCTATCTATCTATCTATCTATCTATCTATCTGAATCTCTCTGTGCAACAACTGAACCATCCATCCATATCTCTATCTGCCCATCTATCGAATCATCCATCTATCCATCCATCTATCTGCTTCAGTCTCCCACACACTCTGTTCCTGTACCCTCTCAGTTTGCCCTCTACCTCCCACTCTTCACCTCGGCGTTAATGCAACACGCAGCGSTGTGGAGGCGGCAGGGAGAGTTACAGAAAAGCACAGAAAGAAAAAAAGAKAGAAAGAGCAACAGTGGATACTCACGTATTCTGCAGAGCAATTTCAGAGCGTCAGCAGCAGCATCATTTTGTCCATATACAGCTGCCCTGGAAAACACAGGCGTTTTTTTCCCTCCTGCTTTCTGTTTGCATTACAACAGCCTGGTTCCACCTGTGCTGGAACAGTGAGTGGGTCCTCTGGTGTCTGCTCGAAGGAAGGACAGATTAGTAGGAACTAGTTTACAAAASCGATTACAGCATCCATAAACACAAACCACAAGTTGCAGTGTCATTTAGGAAAATTAAAGAAACATTTTAGCAAAAATAGTAGAAATACTGAAATTAATTTAGGGAAGAGTTCAAAATATTTAAGATAAAAAACAATTTATTTAAGATATAGTTAAGTGTGTAACAATTACCCTCCTTTAATGGTAAAGCAACAGATTTCACACTCATTATTTAGCAACAAATTACATCTACACCACAGAGCAGACAGCGTCCCTACAAACCCAGGAGCCAGGGAGAAAGAGAAATCACACTCACGACAGGCCCTGGAGCAGTGRGGTTATCCTGACTGGGCTTTCCTGAAAGCAGACAGGAAACAAAGACAGGACTCCATGCAACCTTCAGGTGAAAATGAAGACCCCAAACCAGTGGTTATTCCGTATGTTGCAGGTGTTCCGGAGAAACTGAAACGTTTATTTTCTAAACATGATGTCCCAGTGGCTTTCAAACCCCAAAACACATTACGGCAAAGGCTGGTTCACCCCAAAGATCCGGTGCCCCGGCACAAACAGAGCAATGTTGTATATGCTGTTAAGTGCCAGGAGGACTGCGACCAGTTATACATCGGGGAAACAAAGCAACCACTGTTCAAAAGAATGTCCCAACACAGACGAGCTACATCTAATGGCCAGAACTCTGCAGTTTTCACTCATTTACAGGCCAGCGGTCACTCTTTCAGAGATGAGGATGTTCTCATTCTTGATAGAGAGGAACGTTGGTTTGAGAGAGGAGTAAAAGAAGCCATTTTTGWGAAMAAAGACRGTCCATCATTAAACAGAGGTGGAGGCCTCCGTTTTCAGTTGTCCCCCTCCTACAGTGCGGCCATTGCCAGTATCACTCCACCCCCTGTTAACAATAGGTCTTAATTAGGTGTAAACGATAGCCATGTGATGTGAGTATCAGTCACATGGAGGCAGTGCTTAGAAGCCTGAATTTTGCCTGAAACTCTCAGACTGAAGAAGTCTCTTGGAGAAGAGACAAAATGTTTCATTAGAGAAGAACCCGTCCAGAGGACCTATACAATTTCTTTTCTTTTTAAATTACATCTATATTGATCAAGTAAGTGAAACAATCAACTTTTACGTCGCTCTGAAGGTGTTTATTTCCATCATTTGCGGTTTTTGTTTTCTCTTCTTGTAATTTAGCCTATATATTTTGTTAAATGACATTAATATAAAAGCAGGGAAATATTCTGAAAGCAGCGTTTCATTTGCAGGCAGCGCCATTCGCCTCGGTCTTGTTAAAATGGGGCCAGTTGTTTCCATGACGCTTCATGTGATTGACAGACTGACTCACTCTCCTTTTTATCATGCTGCTTTGCTATGTGAGCTCAAGTAGTGTTGCCTGTGTGTCTTTTGGAGAGAAATACTGAGACAGGAGGCAGAAAGGAGGAAAAATCCCAGTCAACACAGAATAAAAAAAAATWCATTTGAGAAAAATGCAAGGAGACYTCGACAGTAAATGTGACTCCACGGAGGACGAGCGATAAGAGCAGCAGCCTGGTTAACTCAGTTAAAATGTTGTTTCTGGACATTTTACTGCAAGTAGGAGTCAAGGTTTGAACTCTATTGAATAGACACAATAAAATCATGATTTGAAGCTTCACACTTTAATTTTTTTACCATAACCAAAAGGCTGTAGTGCCTAACCCTAACAAAACATGAGATGAAACGTAAAAATACAGCTAAATATGAAAATCAGAGATGATAAAAATCTTGACAATAAGTTTTTTTTTTCTATTAAGGCTGCATGATATTAAAAAAAAAGCTGTGAAAATCCGCCTCATAAAGTTCCTGTATTTATTGTATTTTAGCCTTTGGTTATAAATATTAATTTTTTTTTACAATTCTGCATGAATTGATCTCCTTTAAATCTGCCTTTTAGCAGCTTTTCTATGCAATAATCTCATCACTATGCGCTCTGTGAGAATTTATAGCTATAAAAATGCAAATGGGAAATGGTTCATACTGAACTCTTTAAACGGATAATGATTGGGCGGCACATTGGAGCAGTGGTTAAATGGTTACCTCATAGCAAGAAGGTCGCAGGTTCGCCCCTCAGCCTTTTTGTGTCAGCTTGCAAGATTTTTCATGGTACGTTTTCTTTTGGCACTCTGGTTTCCTCCCACAGACCAAAAACATGCATGTTTCACACAGTGACCACAGGAAATAAGCACTAGCTTTCCTGTTACTTAAAAAGAAATAAGTTTTTAAAGAAAATGGATACATAAATGTTAAACGTTCTTCAGTTTTATGCTGTATGGACAGGCATCTGCTCCACCCAATCATCACCTCTCATTTGTCAGAATTAAAATAAAATAAAAAGACTGAAACTCGATGAAACCCCACAGTCGGCTCCTGGTAAACAAATGAATCACCTACCTCAGCTGTTCGGTCTATTTCAGCCGAAACAGAGACGAGTGGCCAAGTTATGAGAAAATAAGAGACAAAGAAATCTGTTCTGAAGCACAACAGCAGGCCTATGGCTCAGCATATGGTGGCACAAAACTGACACAAACACAACAAATCAAATTTTCACTGCAAGGATGAGCAGGAGAGACAGGAAACAGCAAAATAGCTTAATATATAAACATCATAGGAAATGCTTCTTAAAAACTTGAC